ACACCTCTCCCCGCTCCCTCGAGATTACGTACCTGTAATCGCGTCCATGCCTTCACTTCTGAACGTGCGTATGCGCTATGCGGCAAACGAAAGTTCAAAGTTTGAATGCTGGTGCGTGGGCGGCCTGCATTAGTAACTCGGAAACTGGAAATGGACGCCAAGTCTGAAACACCGTGCCTTATGGATGCCTTCAGTGTAGCTTCCCCTCTCCGGTCAAAAGCAAATTTGGGCACTCGGTGGGGTTTCGCTTCCACGACGAGACTTTGAAGCCCGCCTCAGTCGATAGAAATTAACAAATCGTGTCGTGAAATGATGTGGCCGACTTACTGTCTTGTTAGTCGTAGCTCTCCGACTTGCACCTCACTTTCACCCCTAACTCCAAATGCCATTCGACGGTAGGGGCAAGATTCCTATTTGCGGTTGAGATTAATTTCAGTTTTTGTCCATTGAACCAAAGTTATGAATCGGGTGACCCGTGTCTGATCCAGTTCTGTATACGGGAAGTACTGTTCACCCCCTCGTGGAAGGGGACTAGTTGAGGTGCCTGAAAGATACTGGTTATTGCGTCTTCTCTATGTGAGATGACCTTGGCTCGTGGGTACCAAGTACACGGCCGAACCACTAAGCGAAACAACGGCCCCGGCCTCCATCCCCCTTTCATTAATCTCGCTCAATCTGGGAGCCTGGAATGCACCTGAATTGCTAGATAATCCCATTGACACCCAGCCACAGAGGAGGGCAGTTATGGTCTGCCAAGCACTTATAGTTAAACTATGGAAACCGCCGTAGCCAGCGAACTCCTACTATTAGAGGTCGGCGCATGTTACACTTTCTGAAGCGGCCGCCAAAAAGGATGCTGTCACCACTACCAGTGTATACGCCCATACAATGACGCAAGGATCGGCACGTCCTTACATTGTCTGTATTGAAGTTAGGCCGAAATGATTTGGAGCTAAGAAGTAACAGACTGAATCCTTAAAAAATGTGAAGTGCGACGGTACGCAGCCCGTAGGATATAAGTAGAGCAATGCAATAGATATCCAGTAAAAGTCTCGAAAAAGTTATCAATTCCAGCCGGCATTTAGAAGTACCTGACCTTCAATTAATTCTTCAGTTGCTGTAACGGAAAGAACTAGTTTCCCAATATTTCAACGTATATCCACTGTTCACTTTTGTGAATGCAACCTTAACTGACAAATCTACGCCAAGCAGAGGGTGTACTCTTTTATTCGTCGGAGTTCCGCTCGATCATCTGGAATGCTGTCTTAAGCAAGAATTTCGTTCACAGAGTCGATGTAGATTCTGAAAACTCTATGCAATTTCTGATCTGGTCATCGTAGCCAGGAAGCTGCAAAGAAAATACTCGAAACCAAAAATCAAACCCTACACCCCCTTCGTGAATCTCTCACTAAGGCCTCTAGTACCGGTGTCCAGACCGCCTCGGAAAGGGAATATGAAAAATTTTATATCTAGAAGGGCCCACGGTAATGTTCACATACCTTCATGAAACCATGGTCGGACCCATTTCGAATAAAGAGTCGACATCTGAGTCATTCACGTGGCCAAATGCGTTAAAGCAGGGTTGTGTAGTCGTCTTACTCCTCTCATGCCTCATGTCTTCCTCCAAATACTTTTGGGCGTCAACGAACTGGTTTAGAAAGAATTGATATTGACCGTCGGACTGACCGGGAATTATTCCATGTCCATTGCTCACTGACCATGGCGGAACCCTCCAAGGCCCAGATGCCTAACCGGCAACTGTGCATTGAGAACCATGACCGAGACGGACATACGTAGAGACCTGGACGTTTTGACTTAGTTTTTTCGTAACTCCGGACTAAACATAAAGGCATCAGACACTTAGCACTGGCAAAAGGGAGTCAACTTTCGAATGCGTAGAGCACGGTCATCTTCGGTAGTATTTGCCTGGCAGCAGTAAATCAATTCACCTACGTAGATGTGGTCACGATGACGCGTTTGCAGCTGGGATCTTTTAAGGTTAGCCGAGACCTGTGCCAATTGAAGATCCTCAGTCTGTATATCCTGGGGCATCTTGGATTGTGAGTCCCGGACAATCTGCCCATGCCAAGCGGTCCCGCTCACCACTTCCATATATGTCATGTTCGAGGATTTTAGTGGTGAATTGAAATGTAAGAGTTCTCGGACACTCAAGCCTTGAAATGGACTAGCACGTTGAACATCTATTGAATCCAAAAATAAGGGTGGGCATTTGCCGGGGACGCCGCTGCCCTCCCCC